TTTATATATGTGTGCATACATATATACACACACACACAAATTAGGCTATGCTATTAGTTATACATGTACATATATACATATACATATATATACATGTACACACACATACACACACATTAGGCTATGCTATTAGTTGCATACAAATTCATAGTTTTATATATACATATATATATATAGCAAAACTAATAGAATGTCAATAAGAATTTGGCAAATATATAATCATGGTAGGTGATCTTAACACTCTCTGATAGATACAGCAGACCAAAGGTTATTAAAGACACAGAAAATTTAAAAAACCAAATTAACATGCCTGATCTAAAGGATATATAACTCTGCACTAGCAGAAAACATGCAATCTCTTCAAGTAAATGGAATATTTACAGAAACATACCATGTACAAGGTAACAAAGAAGTCCTCCACAAATTCAAAGAATAGATGTCATATAAGCAATGTTCTCTCACAATAAGGCAGTTAATTTCGAGAGAAGTAAAAAGATAATTTAAAACAAAAAGAATCACCCCTAGAGTAGCAAGAAAAAAATGGCCCATGCACTCTAAGATAGAGACAGTTGAATCCCAGGTCTAAACTTGCCTGCTGAAAGTCCTTGAGTAAGTCACTTAACCTCTCTGGGCCTTGGCTTCTTCAGATGTTATGTGTGTGTAATATCTCTTTCACACAGATTAAAGGAGGAAATAATCTATAAAAGCACCTAGCACAGTACTTGGCAGAAACTCAAACACCAGTTTCAGTCCTTTTACATAATGTGTGTTTAATAAATATCAATGGAATTAATAAATGAATACCAAGTGGAGATAAATATACATTCTTTTGCAAACAGAATATATAATAAATTTAATTAATCCACAAGATCCTATTTTAAACAGAGAGAAGGAAAAATATGGCACATTCTATGTTTCTAATTATCCTCTGATTCGAAAAGAAAGAAAAGATTTTGTCTGGACGTCTGGAAAATCTGATGCCACATCCTGTTTGTCCCTCTCATGTTAATTTGATAATTGCTTCAGATCATGAGGTCACTTTGTCCAAATAAAAAGAGGCTTCACTTGTGAAAGAAGAGAAGCTTAGAGGGCAATGCCTAGTATCTTGTGGGCCGCATTACCAGCTGTTTCCAAGAGACCCAACAAAATTTGAAGGGGACTCAACAAATTTCAACGAGCATAAGTCAGCTAGATACAAGAGAGAATTTTCTTGACAAGTTACCACTCCATTGCATCAGGCAGGGGCTTGTGTGATCTCCTTCCAAGCGTGACATTTCCAGACGTCCTGAACTTGATACAGGCTATGTAGAAAGCTGAGATCCACCCAACGTGCAGCTGTGACAGTTAATGAGGTGTGTGCAGGAGTATAGCACATAGACAGCCTTCATCGCTCTCTATACTCTTGTTGGCTCCCCTCCCTAGAAGGTTTTCAACATGTGTTCAGTGTGGTTTGTTTGCTTCATTTCTATGGGACTCAGAAGAAAGATTTTCTGCTCTCTTCGTTGTGTCATCAGTGCCAAGGACTTTTCCATTTAATTGTTATATGAAGCATGATGTCCCCAAACCCAATCTCAAGACTTTGGTCAAAGGGAAAAGTGTTTCCAGACCACAGTAAAACATAGCCTTGGTGACAAAGCTAACAATAACAGGATGGACAGTTCAGGAATTCAGCAATGCTACCAGGAAAACATGATTTATAAGCTATGGATGCTCATATTTCATATTTACCTGAAAAGCACAACATCTTGTGGTTTTTTTTTTATTTCCACTAAAAATCCTAAATATTTCTGAAGCATCAGAAAATATGGCCTAATATGGAAGAAAAGTTAGGACTGGCTAAATCAGTCTTATACCAAAATAAATTTAAGGTAGATTTAAACATTGAATGTAAAATTAATACAGGTAAATGCTTTTATATTCTTAATGTGGAAAAGAACTTCATAAGCTTAAGATCAAATGCAGAATCTAAGGGAAAAACTGACACGTTTAAAAACATTAAATTCTAAACATTTGTACAATTAGAAAAATCATACATAAAATCAAAGACAAATAACAAATAGAAAAAATAGTTTTAGCATTTATGACAGAAAGTTCATATTTTTAACATATAAAAAGCACTTATAACCAAAAAGAAAATGAAAAATTTATGAATAAGGCTTCAAAAGCAAAAATGCAAGAAAAACAAAAATAGATATATGGGACTTAATTAAACTTGAAAGTTTCTACATAGCAAAAAAAAAAAAAAAAATCAACAGAGTAAACAGGCAACCTACAGAATGGAAGAAAATATTCGTAAATTATGCCTCTGACAAAGGACTAAGATCTAGAATCTATAAGGAACACAAACAACACAACAAGAAAAAAACAACCCCATTAAAAAGTGGGCAAAGGACATGAATAGACATTTCTCAAAAGAAGACATACAAGTGGCCAACAAACATGAAAAAATGTTCATCACTAATCATCAGAAAAATGCAAATTCAAACCAGAATGAGATATCATCTTACACCAGTCAGAATGGCCACTACTATGAAATCAAAAAACAACAAATGTTGCTGTGAATGCAGAGAAAAGACTATACTTATAAGCTGTTAGTAGGAATGTAGATTAGTTCAATCTCTACGGAAAACAGAATGGACATTTCTCAAAGAACTAAAAATAGAACTGGTCAGACACAGTGGCTCGCTCTTGTAATCCCAGCACTTTGGGAGGCCAAGGCAGGCGGATCACGAGGTCAGGAGATCGAGACCATTCCGGCTAACACAGTGAAATCCCATCTCTACTAAAAATACAAAAAATTAGCCAGGCATGGTAGCACGTGCCTGTAGTCCCAGCTACTTGGGAGGCTGAGGCAGGAGAATAGCATGAACCCAGGAGGTGGAGCTTCCAGTGAGCTGAGATTAAGCCACTGCACTCCAGCCTGGGTGACAGAGCAAGACTCCGTCTCAAAAAAAAAAAAAAAAAAAATAGGACTACCATTCAACCCAGCAATCCCAGTACTGGGTATCTACCCAAAGGAAAATAAATTATTATACAAAGAAAACACAATTGCACTCATATGTTTGTCAAAGCACTAGTCACAATAGCAAAGTAATTGACTCAACCTAAGTGTCCATCAATAAGTGATTGGATAAAGAAAATGTGGTATATACAACATAGAATACTATGCAGCCATAAAAAAATCATGTTTTTTACAGCAACATGGAGCTGGAGGGCATTATCCTACATGAAATAACTCAGAAACAGAAAGTAAAATTCAACATGCTCTCAAATGGGAGCTAAACAATGGGTACACATGAACATAAAAATGGAAACAGTAGATAATGGGGACTCCAAAAGTGAGGGAGGCTGAGAGGAGGGTAAGGGTCAAAAAATTTCCTACTGGGTACAATGGTCACTATTTGCATAATGGGTATACTAGAAGCCCAACTCTGCTGTTACATAATACATCCATGTAACAAACATCTACATGTACCCACTGAAACTATAATAAAATAAAATTTTAAATTAATTAATTTTAGAAAGAAAATGGAAAATGGGCATAAATAGTCACTTCCCAAAGGAAAACATACAAATGACTAGTGAACACAACTGAGAAATGCACAACTTCAATAGTAAACAAGGAAATGCAAATAAAAACAATAAAATACAAATTTATAATTTTTCTTTATTTTTTTTAAATTTTACTTAACACATTGGTGAAAATTTGAGTGAATATTCAGTGTCACGGATTCCAACATTGCTACATATTTGGGGAAACGAGCACTCTTTTACTGGGTGATGAGAATGAAAGAGCAATACCATTGGGGTGGGGGAAAGAATTGACAAAATCCATTAATATATTAAAATCCCTAAAAACAAGAATACTTTTTGATCAAAGAATTTCATTTCTAGTAATTTATCCTAAGAAAATAATCAAGCAGGCGTGCATAGATTTACCTTTAATCGTCTCAGGCTTGTTTATAATAGCTTTAAATCAAACAATGGAAGTGCTATTCAATAGTGGAACTTCTAAGAAATTATGAGACATACACAATAAAGCACTGTGGAATAATTAAAAATGAAGGCATAGGAAGAGACAAAGCAACATAGCTGAATAGAAGCCTCCACCTATCGTCTTTCTCACAGGAATACCAATTTTAACTACCTACACAAAATTGCACATTCATAAGAACCAAATATCAGATAAGCAATCATACTGCTTGGTTTTAACTTCATATCACCGAAAGCAGCAGGAAAGAGGGCAGTTTGGCTTTACTTGCCAAAGCCACCCCTCCCCCATCTGCTGTTAGTGACCACACGGCATGGAAAGAGAATTTGCGCAACTAGGGGAGGGAGAATACAGTGATTGCGGGACTTTGCACTGGAGCTCAGTGCTGCCCTGTCACAGTGGAAAGCAATACTGGGCAGAACTCAGGCATCACCCATGGAGGAAACATTTAGAAAAGCCGTAGCAAGAGGGGAATCATCCATCCTAGTGGTCAGAACCTGAATGCTGGTAAGCCTCGCCACCATGGACTAAAGTGCTCTACGGGTCTAAAAAAAACTTGAGGGGCAGTCTAGGCCACAAGGACTGCAACTCCTAGACAAGTCTGAGTGCTGTGCTGGGCTCAAAGCCCGTGGACTCGGGGAGCACATGACCTAGGGAGACACCAGTCAGGGTGGCCAAAGGAGTGCTTGTTCCAATTCTCCCACCAACCCCAGGCAGAATAGCTTGCAACTCTGAAAATGACTCTTTCATTCCACTTGGGGAGAGGAGAGGGGTTTTGTCCTGCAACTTGGATACCAGCTCAGCCACAGTAGAATAGGGCACTAGGTAGAGTCATAACGTCCTCATTCTAGGCCCTACCTCCTGGACAACATTTTTAGACCCACTCTGGGCCAGAAGGGGAACCTACTGTCAGGAAAGGAAGGACCTAGTCCTGGCAAGACCCATGACCTGCTGACTAAAGAGCCCTTGGGTACTGAATAATCAATAGCAGCAGACAGGTAGTACATACCATGAGCCCTTGGTGAGACTCTGGGATGTGTTGGCTTCACATGTGACTCAGCATATGCATAGATGTGGTGGCTGTGGAGACAGACTCCTTCTGCTTAAGAAAAGCAAAGGGAAGAGTCAAGGGGACTTTGTCTTGCAGCTTAGGTACCAGCTCAGCCACAGTGAGGTAGAGCATCAAGTGGGCTTTTGGGGACCCTGATTCCAGGCCTTGGGTCTTGGTTAGCACTTCTGAACCAGCCCTAGGCCAGAGGGGAACCCACCACCCTGAAGGGTGAATGCCAGGACTATAAGCATTCACTAAAGAGCCCTTGGTCCTTTCATGAACATCACTGGTGGCCTGGCAGTGCTCTCCATGGGCCTTTGGTGATGGTGACCATGAGGAGAGACTCTTCTGCTTGTAGAAAGGGTACGGAAGAGTGGGAAGGTCTTTATCCTGTGGCCCGGGTGCCAGCTCAGCTGCAGTAGAATAGAGCAGCAGGTAGATTCCTAAGGTTTCCAACTCCAGACTCTGACTCCCAGACAGTATCTCTAGACCCACCTGGAGCCAGGGGAAGCTCAGCACCCTGAAGAGAAAGACACAAGCCAGGCTGGCTTCACCACTACCTGATTGTAGAGCCCTAGGGCATTGAGTAAACATAAGCAGTAGCCAGGTGATGGTTACAGTGAGCCTTGGGTGAGATCCAGTGCTCCGCTGGCTTCAGGTCAGACCCAGCACAGTCCCAGTGGTGGTGGCCACAGGGGAGCTTGTACCACCCCTCCAGCTCCAGGCAGCTCAGCCCAAAGAAAGAGAGTCTACTTATTTGGAAGTAAGTAAGAGAAGAGAGCAAGAGTGTCTCCCTGGCAATCCAGATAAAACTTCTGGATCGTATCCAAGACCGCCAAGTCACTACCTCTACAAGTCTGCGGGAGCCACAGCATTACTGGGCTTGAAGTTCCCCCTAAATGTAGATATGGCTGCAGTGACCAAAAATGTAGATCACAACACCCAAGTCCCTTTGAATACCTGTAAAGTTTTCCCAACTTTACAGTTGGGAATCTGCAATAAATACCTGCTCAGGACTGCAATAAATACCTAACTCTTTAATGCCCAGACACTGAAGAACATTCATAAGCATCAAAACCATCCAGGAAAACATCACCTCACCAAATGAACTAAATAAGACACAAGGGGCTAATCCCAGAAAGACAAAGACTTTTCAGATAGAAAATTCAAAATAGCTGTGTTGAGTAAACTCAATGAAATTTCCAAGATAGTAGAGAAGGAACTCAGAATCATATCAGATAAATTTAACAAAAAGATTGAAATAATTAAAAAGGATGAAGCAGAAATTCTGGAGTCGAAAAATGCAATTGACATACTAAAGAATTCATCAGAATCTCTTAATACCAGAATTGATCAAGCAGAAGAAAAAACTAATGAGCCTGAAGACAAGCTATTTGAAAACATAGTTAAAGACAAAAGAAAAAAATGAATTTAAAAGAATGCAGCATGTCTACAAGATCTAGAAAATAGCCTCAAAAGGGCAAATCTGAGAGTCACTGGCCTTAACGAGGAGGTAGAGAAAGAAATAGGTGTAGAAAGGATATTCAAAGGGATAATGACAGAGAATTTCCCAAGCCTAGAGAAATATATCAATATTCAAGTACAAGAAGGTTAGAGAACACCAAGCACATTTAACCCAAAAAAAGATAACCTCAAGGCATTTAATAATCAAATTCCCAAAGGTCAAGGGTAAAGAAAGGACCCTAAAAGCAGCAAGAGAAGAGAAATAAATAATGTACAAAGGAGCTCCAATACATCTGGCAGCAGACTTTTCAGTGGAAATCTTACAGGCCAGGTGAGAGGGTATGACATATTTGAAGTGCTAAAAGAAAAAAACTTTTGCCCTAGAATAGTATATCTATATAAAATATGCTTCAAATATGAAAGCAAAATAAAGACTTTCGCAGACAAACAAAAGCTGGGGGATTTTATCAACACCAGACTTGTCCGTCAAGAAATACTAAAGAGAGTTCTTCAATATGAAAGAATAATAATCTGAAAAGATGTTAATGAGCAATAAGAAATCATCTGAAGTTATGAAACTCAAAGTACAGGCCAGGCATGGTGGCTCACCCCTGTAATCCCAGCACTTGGGATCAGGCCGAGGCGGGCAGATCACCTGAGGTCAGGAGTTCAACACCAGCCTGAGCAATGTGGAGAAACTCCATCTCTACTAAAAATACAAAAATCAGCCTGTAATCCCAGCTACTTGGAAGGCTGAGGCAGAAGAATTGCTTGAACCAGGGAGGTAGAGGTTGCAGTGAGCTGAGATGGTGCCACTGTACTCCTGCCTGAGTGACAGAGGGAGACTCCATATTGAAACAAAACAAAACAAAAACTCAAAATACACAGAAAAAAAGAATATTATAACACTGTAATTATGATGTGTATGATGTGGAAACTACTCATATCCTGAGTAGAAGACTAAAAGATCAACTGATCACAAATAACTACAACTTTTTAAAACATAGATAACACAATACGCTAAGATATAAATAGAAACAACAAAAGTTAAAGAGTAGGGAGATGGAGTTAAAGTATAGAGATTTTATTAGTCCTCTCTTTGCTTGCTTCTTTGTTTATGCAATCAGTGTTAACTTGTCATCAGTTTAAAATAACGGGTATAAGATATTATTTGCAGCCCTCATGATAACCTCAAATCAAAAGACATACAACAAGTACCTTAAAAATAAAAAGCAGAAAATTAAAACACACCACCTCAGAAAATCACCTTCACTAAAAGGAAGAGAGGAAGAAAAAAAAAAAAGCAAGAAAAGACCACAAAACAAGAAAACAAATAACAAAATGGCAGAAGTAAGTCCTTACCTGTCAATAATAACATAAAATGTAAATAAACTAAACTCTCCAATCAAAAGATATAGACTGGCTGAATGTATTTTTAAAAAGAGATGCAATAATCTGTTGCCTACAAAAAAACACACTTCACCTATAAAGACACACAGAGACTGAAAATAAAGGGACGGAAAAAGATATTCCATACCAATGAGAACCAACAAAAGCAGGAGTAGCTATACTTATATCAGACAAAATAGACTTCAAAACAAAACTATAAAAAGAGACATGGTCTCTATATAATGATGAAGGATCGATTCAGTAAGATGATATAACAATTGTAACTATATATGCACCTTGGAGCACACAGATATATAAAACAAATATTATTAGAGCTAAAGAGAGAGAGAGACCCCAATACAATAATAGCTGGAGACTTGCAGCATTGGACAGATGATTCAAAAAGAAAATCAACTATGAAACATTGGACTTAATCTGTCCAATAGACTAAATGGACATTTACAGAATGTTTCCTCCAATGGCTACAGAATACACAATCTTCTCAACACAGGGATCATTCTCAAAGACAGACCATATGTCGAGCCACAAAACAAGTCTCAAAACATTCCAAGAAATAATAGTAAGTGTCTTCTCTGACCACAATGGAATATAACTAAAAATCAATAATGAGGAATTTTGGAAACCATACCCACACGTGGGAATTAACCAATATGCTTCTGAATGACCAGTGGGTCAATGAAGAAAAAAAAAAACTGAAAAATTTCTTGAAACAAATGATAATGGACACACTACATGCCAAAACATATGGGATGCAATGAAAGCTCCACTAAGAGGGAATTTCATAGCTATAAGTGCCTACATCAAAAAAGTAGAAAAACCTCAAATAAACAACCTAACAAGGCATCTTAAAGAACTAGAAAAGCAAGAGCAAACCAAACTCAAAATTAGTAGAAGAAAAGAAATAGTAAATATCAGAGTGGAAATAAATGAAATTGAAATGAAGAAAACAACAAAAAAGATCAGTGAAACAAAAAGTTGGTATTTTGAAAAGATAAACAAAATTGGCAAACCGTTAGCCAGTCTGAGAAAAAAAGAGAATAAATAAATAGATTCAGAGATGAAAAATGAGACATTACAACTGATACCACAGAAATTCAAAGGATCATTAGAGGCTACTGTGAGCAACTATATGCCAATAAATTGGAAAAGCTAGAAGAAGTAGATAAATCCCTAGACACATACAACCTACCAAGCCTGAACCATAAAAAAAATCCAAAACCTGAATAGACCAATAACAAGTAACAAGATCGAAGCCATAATAAAAAATCTCCCAGTAAAGAAAAGCCCTGACCTCAGTGGTTTCACTGCTGAATTCTACCAAACATTTAAAGAAGAGTTAATGCTTTCGAAATTCATTCTAAGAGGCCAGTATTGCCCTGATACCAAAACCAAACACATATCAAAAAAAGACAACTACAGGCCTATATCCCTGATGAACTTTGATGCAAAAATCTTCAACAAAATACTAGCAAATCAAATTCCACAACACCTTAAAATGATCACTTATGATGATCAAGTAGAATTCATCCCAGGGATGCAAGAAGGATTCAATATATGTAAATCAATCGATGTGATGCATTATGTCAACAGAATGAAGGACAAAAACCATATAATCCTTTCAACTGATGTTGAAAAAGCATTTGATAAAATTCAACATCACTTTATGATTTAAAAAAACTGGGTGTGGAAGTAACATACCTCAACATAATAAAAACCATATATGAGAAACCAACAGCTAGTATCATATTTAATGGGAAAAAACTGAAATCCTTTTCTCTAAGATCTGGAACATGACAAGGATGCCCACTGTCACCACTGCTATTCAATATCGTACTCAAAATCCTGCTAGAGTAATGATACAAGAAAAAGAAATAAAGGGTATCCAAATTGAAAAGGAAGAAGACAAATTATCCTTATTTGCAGATGATATGATCTTACATTTGGAAAAACCTAAAGACTCCACTAAAAAACTATTAGAACTTAAACAAATTAAAGCTGCAGGATACAAAGGCAACATACAAAAATCAGCAGCATTTCTATATGACAGCAATGAACAATGGGGAAAAAGAAATTTAAAGAGTAATTCTACTCATAATAACCACAAATAAAATTAAATACCTAGGAATTAACCAAAGAAGTGAAGGATCTTTACAGTGAAAACTATAAAACACTGATGTAAGAAATTGAAGAGGACACAAAAAAAGGGAAAGATATTTTATATTCATGGATTGGAATAATCAATATTTTTTAAATATCCATAATACTCAAAGCAATCTACAGATTTAATGCACTCTATCAAAATACCAATGACATTCTTCACAAAAATAGAAAAAACAATTCCAAAATTTATATGAAAACACAAAAGACTCATAATAGCCAAAGCTATCTATCCTAAGCAAAAAGAACAAAACTGGAGGAATCACATTACCTGACTTTAAAATATACAACAGAGATACGGTAACCAAAATAGCATAGCACTGGCATAAAAGCAGACACATAGACCAGTGGAACAGAATAGAGAACCCAGAAACAAATGCATATATCTGCAATGAACTCATTATCAACAAAGGTGCCAACAACATGCTTTGGGGAGGGGACAGTCTCTTTTATAAATGGTGCTGGGAAAACTGGATATACATATGCAGAAGAATGAAACTAGATCCCTATCTCATGCTATATAAAAAAATCAAATCAAACTTGACTGAAGACTTAAACCTGAGACCTCAAACTGTGAAACTGCTAAAAGAAAATATTGGAGAAACCCTCCAGGACATTGGACTGGGCAAAGACTTCTTAAGCAATACCCCACAAGCATAGGCAACCAAAGCAAAAATGGTCACATGGGATTACATCAAATTAAAAAGCTTCTGCACAGGAAAGGAAACAATCAACAAAGTGAAGAGACAACCCACAGAATAGGAGAAAATATTTGCAAACTATCTATCTGATAAGGGATTAATAACCAGAATATATAAGGAGCTCTAGCAACTCTATATGAAAAAATCTAAAAATCCAATTTAAAAATGGACAAAAGATCTGAATAGACATTTCTCAAAATAAAAAGATATGCAAAGGGCAGACAGGTATATGAAAAAGTGCTCAACATTATTGATCATCAGAGAAATGCAAATCAAAACAACAATGAGATATCATTTCATCCTAGTTAAAATGCCTTTTATCCAAAAGACAGGCAATGACAAATGCTGGTAAGGATGTGGAGAAAAGGGAACCCTTGTACACTGTTAATGGGAATGTAAATTAGTACAACCACAATGGTGAACAGTTTGAAGTTTCCTCAAGAAAACTAAAAGTAGAGCTATCATGTGATCCGGCAGTGCCACTGCTAGGTGTATACCCATAACAAAGGCAACCGGTATGTTGAAAGGATGTCTGCACTCCCATATTTATTACAGTGCTATTCACAATAGCCAAGATTTGGAAGCAACCTAACTATCCATCAACAGATAAATGATAAAGAAAATTTTTTACATGTACACGTGGAGTACTATTCAGCCATAAAAAAGGAGATCCTGTCATTTTCAGCAACATGGATGGGACGAGAGGTCATTATGTTAAGCAAACTAAGCCACACACAGAAAGACAAACTTTCCATGTTCTCACATATGTGTGGGAGCTAAAAATGGAAACATTTGAACTCATGGAGATAGTATAATGATGGTTTCCAGAGGCTGAAAAGGGTAGTGGGGGAGTTGGAGGAAGGGGAAGTGAGGATGGCTGATGGATACAAAAAAATAGAAAGAATAAATAAGATCTAGTATTTCATAGCACAACAGGCTGACCATAGTCAATCATTATTTAATTGTACATTTTAAAACAACTAAGAGTAAAATTGATTTTTTTTTGTAACACAAAGGATAAATGCTTGAAGTAATGGATACCCCACGTACCTTGATGTGATTATTACACATTGCATGCCTGTATCAAAGTATCTCATGTACCCCATAAATATATACACCTACTATGTACTCACAGAAATTAAAAATTTAATTTTTTATGAGAAGACGGAGAACTATATTCATTGGCATGGGAAAATGTCCACATTATATTAAGTAAAAAAGGCAATTTGTCCACTTTCTCCCAGTTTTACGTGTGTGTGTGTGTGTGTGCCTATAAATGTATAAATGCATGGGGAAAAGTCTAAGGATATACAGTGAAATTTTCACAGCCTTTTTCTCTTAGCAGTAGAATTACAGGGAATTTCCACTTCTTTATATTTTTCTGATTATCTGATTTTTTTTACAATGAAAATATTTTACTTTAGGAATTGTTCCCAGACCAAACTGAGGGCCGGGCTGCTATTTCTCATGGCCCAATAATGAAATGCAGATAAACTAGGGAGGAAGAGAGTTTTTATTTCTGCAACCTGTAACAGGGAGAAGGCCTGGAAATGATCACCAGACCCACTCAAAATTACCAAGTTTTCCAGAGCTTATACACCTTCTAAGCTACAGGTCTACATGTAAGTGTGCATTCATCTCAAGACATAAGTGATTAACTTCTTTTAAGCTACCACTAAGGTCTGAGTCCTAAAGACCTTCCTCTGGAGCCTCAGTAAATTTACTTAATCTGAATAGGCCCAGGTGCTGGAGTAATTGTCCTTATCTTGTCTCCTGCTAAATCACAGAGGTTTAGGGAGTTCTTTCAGACCCCCAATAAACTTTTGTGGAGGCCTGGGGAGTTTCTTCAGATCCACAATAAAACTTGTTTAACCCTAACTGGGTCCTGTTAAGGATTCCTTCATTATTTTGTCATGCTTTAAGGCCCAGGAAAGGCCTAGGCAAAACTCTGGATGGGCTTTTGTTACATCCCAGCCTTTGTATAAGGGCACTGGCTTTTAACTTAACCACTTGGTCAGTACTGAAATCGTTGTTGTGGAGGCCTGCATTAGTGAGACTTGGCGTGCTCCAGAATCAGAAAAAAAACTTAAGACAATTTATACTGAGGAGAATAAAGGCAAGAAAGATGAAGTTTAAGCAAAGAAATTCTAGGTGTGGAAACTTCTGGGTTTTGCTACTGAATTTATTCAGACTATTAACTTTTTTTAATATCTCTTAAAGTATCTCAAAGTAGCTCGAAAGCTTTTTTGTTTGTTTGTTTGTTTGTTTTTTCTCCTTCACTGAGCAGCAACTCTTTGCAGACATTCGTCCCACTAACAATTTAAAGCAGACATCAGCATTCGCATTTCATCCATAAGAAAGCAGTCTGGGACTCATAAGAGAGCAGGACCTGTACCCCAGAGCCTGTTGCAGAGGAAGCCCAAAAAAGCAGCATGCTGTGGCTTCCTGATCTGGGAGAAATATTTGGTGTGAAGTTTATTAAACGGAGGCTAAAGCCAGGCTCTGTTCAAATCCCAGCTCTGTCACCATGGCTGCATCATCTCAGGCAAATTACTTTACCTAGCAGTGATTCGATTTCTAGATGTGTAAAATAAAGATGATGAAGATAGTATCTACCTTAATAGCCTGCTGCCACAGATGAGTGTATGTAAGGTGGAACACTGGAAGTGCTCCACGTTTGTTGTTATGTTTCCATTTCCCACGTGGGTCCCAGTCTCCCCATCCCCAATAGCATGGATTGCACCAGGGCTTCACCACAGCCACATCGGCCTATTAACTTCCAATTATTACAAAGGCCCTGCTCTAATGGCAAGTGCTAAAGGGGAGTTGCTCCCGTAGTTCTGACCCCTCCTCCCCTCAGCTACTTGTCCTAAGCATAAAATGTAAACGTTCACGTTCTAAACACTCATTAACTAACATGCAGGTCACAAGGGTGCTGAGCTGGTGGAGTCAGAACTCAAACCCATATTCTACCTGGCTCTCCTAAACCTGCCATGTACTTTCTACTGCTGATAATATGTAAAGAGGGAAAAGTATATTTATACTAGCAGGCTTACCAGGTCAATGGAGATGAAACTTAACATGTCTGATGTCTTCTAGCACGCATCTGGTTCTGGGCTCATTTTTGTTCTTTGTGGCACTTTTAATCTTGCAGAAGGCATACTTGTGGAATTTCCAGACAAAGATTCTTGTTCTCCAAAAATATAATAAAGAAGTGGATCTGAAAAAAAAAAAAAAAAGCCAAATTATCTTTTAAAAATGAAAGCAGCCCCATACCCACTGCCTGAAATTCAGTGAAGGCAGTTACATGTACACATTTTATCATTGTTGCTCATTTACCCTCACCAGGGAATATCTTCCAGTGCACCGTAGGGTCACATTTTGAAAATCTGACCCTAAACATTTTCACATTGTGAATTAGACTTCAAAGGAGATTTTGATTCATGTTTTGTGTTCTTAAAAACTTGGTACACCTTACTGATTACTGGGGAAAAAAATTCTAGTTTCGCTTAGTCACACTGATATCCCAATAGTGTTTACGGGTACTTGTTATATCATATAGTGGCCACAGCTTTTGAAACAAATATCAGGACATTTGGTTTGACAGTCAGGAGTATATTTATGGGGACAGAATAGTTAGCCAACCAGAAAATCCAGGCCACATGCATGCCATTAACTATATATAAAGAATGATCTGCATGAATAATATATAGATGTACAGGCTGGCTAGTATCTTTGTACCAGCCAATGTACATGAACAGTCTTTCAGAGGTCAACTCATTGAGTTGCTATGTTGATTTTGTTCTTCTTTCCAATTGCTTATTTAATTGATATCAACTATCTTCATTAGGTTAGTTAATCTGACAAAGTGATCACGTATCCTTATGTTAGCTGTTCTCTAAAACAAATATAAAATTATTTGTTAAAATGTTTGAAGTCTGCTAAAAGACTCATGAGAACTATTATATAAATAAACCATTAGGTAGACAATTGTGATTAGGGAAATATTGTACTAATTGCTAATGGATAAAATCATGATGCTCATCAGACACATCTTAAAATTATACACATATTTTAATGAAAATCAATAGGCTTATGTATGTGATGACCCATTTCTCTAAACAGTAGTGCATATTTGCAAAAGAGCAGATGAACCCTACCCAGATGTGAACTAAAGAACCATAATAATGAAAAGGACCTACATTCTAAGGCTGTTCTGTGGGTTCAATGAAGTTATATTTTTAATGTGCTTAAAACAGTGCCTGGCACATAGTAAATGCTATACAACTACTGTTAGCAGTGTTGGCTTTAAGATAGAATTGTTAACTTTCTTTTCAAAAGTCTTTTGAAAAACTTGTCAGAAGTTTTATTTAAAGTTTATTTTTTGATTTAAAACATTTTTCTGCTTTTCAAATGTAAAACCTGTGAATTAATCATCATGGATTAAAACTCACAACCTATTCGTACTTATTTGTGGGCTTTTTTCTTTTTCTACAACTGTGTGGGTGATGGCCTGGAACCAAATCTCTGCCTAAACATGATGTGCTATTCCCTCTTATTTTGACCAATCTGACCCGTCAAGACACGACAAATATGCCTACACAGCTATACTACGTTCCTAAATATGGACTCTGAGCAAACATGACAAATATATGAAACCCTGAGTACATAAAACATTTTAAGTAAGTCTGCTTAATTACAATATAAACAAGCTCTCCACTGCACTAAATGAGTCATTGGTTCTCCCAGATGGTCTGAATAGAGTTCAAGTGACATTAAGAGAAAACAAAGTATGTCCTCAGATATTCACGGAGCTGAAGAGGATGGAGCGACACGGGGAGGTATAGTTCAGCATGTCCCATGCCGGGGGAGGACTGTAAGATCCTGTCTGATAAACCAGTCAGGTGTGGCCTTACAGAAAAGTGTATTCCATAAGGGCCTAACAATTCTTACAGGAAAGGACTTATAAGAAAGGAACAGTGAGACAACCTCGAGTTGGTAGAAAAGCCAAGTGCCATGTTATAAAAAGTGTATCTCCAAACCTTAATCTGTGTCCAAATTTTATGTGGGCGTATGAGTGTGTGGGTGAAGGGGGGAAAATCAAAGAAAGGTGAATATTACAAATGCTGTTCTACCAAGCACTGTGAAAGACTGAGACATGAGGTTCTCAGTTTCCGTACATCCCTAACAAATTTAACATGAGGAAGTGGGGTCTCTTATTCCGCCTCTCCACAGAATATCATCCACTTGGGCAGCCTGAAGCGTCTGTACCAGGAGGAGGGGTAGCTCCTGGCAGATGCAAGGGAGAAATCGTGAGGCAGCCTGTAATGTGCAGGACAGCACATTTAGCAAGACCAGGCAGAAGGACCCAGAAAAGTGGTCATGACCAGTAGACGAGCCTAGAAGAAGTTGAGGTGAAGCCAGCTGGACTCCTGGGTCACCCGGGGACTTGAAAAACTTTTCTGTCTTACAAGAGGTTTGTAAAATACACCAGTCAGTGCAGTGTAAAAACGCACCAATCAGTGCTCTGTGGCTAGCTAGAGGTTTGTAAAATGCACCAATCAGTGCTCTGTAAAAACGCACCACTCAGCGCTCTGTGGCTAGCTAGAGGTTTGTACAATGGACCAATCAGCACTCTGTAAAGTGGACCAATCAGCACTCTGTAAAATGGACCAATCAGCAGGACATGGGCAGGGACAAATGAATTAAAGCCGGCCACCCCAGCCAGCAGCAGCAACCCACTCGGGTCCCCCTCCACACCGTGGAAGCTTTGTTCTTTCACTCTTCACAATAAATCTTGCTGCTGCTCACTCTTGAAGGTGGCACACCTTAAAGAGCTGTAACACTCACAGCGAAGGTCCGCGGCTTCATTCTTGAAGTCAGCAAGACCACGAACCCATTGGAAGGAACCAACTCCAGACACAGAATGACTCAAGAGAACAGAAGAGACATTGACACAGCATTGTCAGAGGATGAAGATCCTGCTTCACCCAGTAGAACAATAGCCAGGAGAGGAGTTCAGCAGTAGATTCAAGCGAGTAAAAGAATCAGTGAACTGGAAGATAGGATAGTTGGAATTATTGAGTCTGAAAAACAGAAAGAAAAAAATGAAAAAAAGTGAAAAGTGAATGTATGCAGATAATATATTGAATACACATCATAATCTGTTCTTGCATTTAAATATGTGCATACAAATATTTTTTGCACTACATTCTCAAAAATTAATAGAATTTCAAAAATGCAGTCATCAAAGGGGTCACTTTTTACAACACCTGTTGAATAATTAATAACATTCCACAAAACATGTTTGTTCAGTGCCTACTATGTTATTATTGTACAGTGGAGAGGCAAAGGTGAATACCACAGAGAGATCAAAGTCCAATGAGTGGGGCCAGGGCAGGGCTACGAGTACGTGACCTGGGCAGTCTCACACAGTGCTTGCTTTAATTCTCTACGTCATTGTCCTAAAATTCTTAATAATTTTTGAACAAGGGCTCTGCAGTTTCATTGTGCACTGCAGCCCCACAAGTTACATAGCCATTCCTGCAGGACACATGAATATGAAGAAAGAGAGAGTGCAAATAAAGACACAAACGCTGGGACCCCCCAGCCCGGGTGGGGTGCAGCTTGAGGTCAAGGCGTATTTCCTGGAGCAAGGTAATTGTTGAAAAGCAATAAGAATTAGCCAGAGCTGTGAGATTCTCTCTAGTTTGAATATTCACTCATTGAGGGTTTAACTGTTTTTTAAGATTAAACACACATCTTTGTACATGTGCATAATATTGTTGAAAAAATTATACCAAACATGAAAACAAGGCAAAAGGATCTTCAGGCCTTTGGGATTATCCTAGAGGACTCCTTGCAGGCTACCTACAGGGTATCTGACTTGCGCCTCTAGAGCAGGGACCAGCAAATTTTTTCTGTAAAGGGCCAGATAGTAAATATTTTTGGCTGTGTGGGACATATGGTCCCTGTTGCTACTACTCACCTCTGCCACACTAGCATAAAAGCGGCCACAGGTGATGCACAGATGAATAGGTGTGCTGTGTTCCTGGGCTCCACAGAGCAGGCTGGGGCTCCAGCTCTCAACTGCCAATCCTGCCCCAGGGCATGTAACTTCACTTTGACTCCTCATTTACAATTGATAAAGCCCCAGACTGGGTAAAGTTAGATGTTACCTTGTAGATTGATAAATAGCAAGTGATTTCTAACTGGTAGAGACCATAACCCCAAAACTTACAGCTTTATTGCCCAGGAGGATAGGAAGCAGTTTTTTATTAACTATTTTGTATTAACTTTGTGTGACCCTATCCCAGCAATCTTTCCTCCTCACTACATATGTATGTATGTACGTGTAGCTATAGATATGGATATAGATAGATATAAATAACAATATAGATATCAGCTTCTTATATCTGCCTTTATATCCCCTTTGTCATTCTTCTGGTACCCTCATTAATTAGTTAAATCTTTTACATACACTTACTCTATATTTGCATGAAAATTGTGTTTTTAAGCTTTTTCATTTTTTAATTTTTTTAGAGACAGGGTCTTGCTCTGTTGCCCAGGCTGGAGTGCAGTGATGCAATCACAACTTACTATAACCGCTAATTCCTAGGCTCATGCCATCCTCCTGCCTCAGCCTCTCAAGTAGCTGGAACTACAGGTGTGTGTCACCATGCCCACCATGCCCACCATGCGTGGCTAATTTTTTTTTTTTTTTTAGAGACAGGGTCTGGCTATGTTGCCCAGACTTGTCTTGAACTCCTGGCCACAAGTGATCCTCCTGCCTCACCTCAAAAAATGCTGGGATTACAGGCATGAGCCACTCTGCCAGCCTTTTAACTTTTTAAAATATCAACAGTGCATCTTGTCAGCACATATGAAAAGTGGCATAGACGAACAGAAAATTAATGAAGAGCTTTAACGGGTAATGCTGCAAATGTGATTCTCTCTAAAGTAAATGCAGCTCATCTCAACGGACTGAAGGACTCTGCCCCAATACAGAAACCTCACAATCTGCCTTATTTTTACATGCAAACCATCTGCAGGAAAGAGATCTAGAGAAGAGTTACCCTGCTCCTCCATCAGCCCCAGTCTCACCTCCTCTAAGCCAAGAACCTGGAAGGCCAAGCCCTCCCCTCCCTCGCCCTGAATTCCTCCATGCTCTCCTGACATAGGAGCAACGAAACCCTTTCTTCTTAATTTCTCTAAGATGCAGTTAGAATCCTCAAAGTAATAGTTTACTGCTGGATGCGGTGGCTCACACCTGTAATACCAGCACTTTGGAAGGCTGAAGCAAGAGAATCGCTTGAGCCCAGGAGTTTGAGACTATCCTGGGCAATGTGATGAAATCTTGTCTCTACAAGAAATTTAAAAATTAGCCCAATATGGTGGCATGTGCCTGTGGTCCCAGCTACTTGGGAGGCTGAGGCAGGAGGATCACCTGACCCCAGGAGGTTGAGGCTGCAGTGAGCCATGTTCATGTACCGCACTCCAGCCTAAATGACAGAACAAGACCCTGTCTCAAAAACAAAAACAATAAAACCAAGTAATGGTTTACTCTAAAGCCAGAAGAAAACAAAGGCATAAAAGCAGATTACCTGCAGAGGATGCTGTCAAAGTTCAATGCCGCCAGCATGAGCTCCTTGCATGTGGGCTGACACTCTACAGGGACAGGTACAAGGGCCAAGAGCAAAAGAAGGTAGCCCTGATGCGCATGGCTACACTGGGCCAGGCTACTGCCTCGTGTCTGTAAGTGCTCTTTTGTAGAAGAGAGTGAGTGTGAGGATTTTAGAACGTGTATTTAGATAAGCCAGAGGCATAAACTACTTTGGACAATGGAGGCAGAGCCAGGGATCTACAGGCTTTGGGAATGGGATGCTTGCTGACCCGACGGTTCCCCCTCCCTCCTTCGGTACTCTCCATCCATTAGCCCACCACAATATACTCCTATGCATTTGAACTCTATCCAAAAACATACGTCAAATAATAAATGAATTGGGAGGAAAGAATATAAATGAGTTTTGCGGCATATTCACTAATTGCTTTCATTTTATAGAGTCTCCACAGCTTTCCGACATGATTCACTTTAACAAATAGGTGAAGAAAAATAAAAAAGAAAAGTTTTTGTTTTGTTTTGGTTTGGTTTTGAGGTAGAGTCTTGCTCTGTCACCCAGGCTGGAGTGCAACGGCTCACTGAAGCCTCCGCCTCCAGGGTTCAAGTGATTCTTCTGCCTCAGCTTCCTGAGTAGCTGGGATTACAGGCGCCCAACACCACACCTGGTTAATTTTTGTATTTTTAGTAAAGACGGGATTTCACCATCTTGAACATGCTGGTCTTGAACTCCTGACCTCGTGATCCACCCGCCTCGGCCTCCCAAAGTGCCGGGATTACAGGTGTGAGCCACCGTGCCTGACCAGAAAAGATTTTTTTTTTTTTTGAAGGGACAGACATCTTCATGTTTACTGTCACCCGTGGTACTTCCTATATGGACCAATTTAAATCAGAGTCCTTACCAATGCTCTGTACCTTTAAATCCCACCCCTCCCCCCCAAAGTCATCTCACAAACATAAAATGAGGCTCTCTGTCCTTAATTATTTTGTTCCAGATTTGTTACAACCCAGCTCACTTGCCCTACTTAAAATGCTTCTTGTCTGGGTGTTTCTATGAGCTTATCTGCAAGCGTTCCTCTCAACTGACAGCACAGCAGTGAAGAATTTCAAATTAGTGACAAAACACAGTTGAAAAGGCAAAACTGCAGTCTCCCAATGGGGGAAAAAAAGCCATCTACATCTACTCAGGTGGTTTGTTAAAATTCTATTTGTCTTTGAAATAATTTCTGTTTGGAAAAATACACACTATGTAGTGTATTCAAAAGGTATTTTAAATGCATTCATAGATATGTGAACATATATTTTATAAATATATAAATTATATGTGTATAATGTGTGTGCATATTATATAAAGTCCTGTCCGCTACAACATCCAGTATGTCCTCTCACCATCAGAATGATGCCCATTGCTCTGAACCATGAGTGAGTGACAGATCGTATGGACACACTTGGTCAGTGGCGATTTACACCCCCTACTGAGCACTCTTTCAAGCGGTGAGCACTGTAAGTTGTGCGTGTTCTGTCATGCATGTTGTTTACTTTCCTGTGTCTCTTTTTCTTCCATGTGTTTGTATTATGGTGAGTGATTTTTATCCACTCTGGCTGATCAAACCTGTATAGGTCATTCAAGATATGGAAAAGCAAATTTTATGGCAACTGAAGGAGTTTTCAAGAAAATGGTCAAGAAGACATTAGAAAACAGGGTCCCAAAACCCATTAAGGTCTCACCAAGGTTTTTTTCTATTTAGTCAAAACCAAGATTTAACTTTTATCAAAAAATCAAAAGACTGTAAGCAGATGTGTTTTCCAAATCAGATACTCTCGGTACTGGATCAAAATAGAAAAAAGTTTTTCCCACATTGGGGACTGCAAAGAAAGGTATCTATGCAATTGCCAACTACAGTTCTAATTTAAGATACTCTGTGTGTGTGAAGTCACAGAATTTTTCCTTGATTAGCTCAATCTGATTACCAAATCCTCACGACCTGTGCACACTTTGCTCTGTGATTGCAACCTTGTGCAGCTTGTGCTGGGTAATATCTTTTTGGCATGATGTGTGCGCTGGACTTGCTCACTGAGTTAATCAACAATTGTGTTTTAATATTTTCCGCTTATTGAATTTGGATTTCAGAACACAGTTTACCTCTAGATACGTGCATGCGCTAGCAAATCATCAAACTTGAAGTAAATATTACTCTTCTCCTTTCTAATTGCTTATTTAGCAACTTTCTCTTCTTACACCAAGGGTAATTTGCACAGAAAATCAGGTACATATGTGCATTTAAAATGCACATCAAAATATTTCATAAAGAGCCAGCATTATGATTCACCAAAGTTTTCTTTCTCCCCTTTTGATGAAGAAAACAAGACAAACACCCGTTCACTTCTGGACTAGAGATGATCAGCCAGCACAGCCTTGCTACTAAAAGATTAACTGAGCCTGATTGTTTAGAGAGTCTCTCAAGATCATTAACAATGTTCTCTTTGACCAAGTTTTTTTCTCTTACCCTATTTCATGGGTCTCCTCTGAAGCACTGGACACTATTGGAATCTCCCATTCCCTCTACTTCCCGGACTCTGCCATGTTCTGGTCCCCTCTGACATCCTTATATGCTCCTTCTCAGCATTTCCCCATGAGATGCTTCTTTCTTCTGTTGGCATCTTAAATCCAGATGCTCCCTGAAAGACAGCACATTAATGGCCCAGTTCTTCACCCCACCCTTTATCCATACTCTTTGCCATATGACTTTGAAGTTCCTCTCACTGAAAAACAGGAGTATATTTCCCTGATGCTCAACTTCGGGTTCAGGCATGTGACTTCTTTTGACAAATGGAAGGTTAGTGGGCATGATATGATCAAATGCTCTCTTGAGTGACTGTGCTTGCCCTCTTCTGCCTCTGCCATTGCCATGAGAAGAACATGCCCAGACTAGCCCATTGAATCCAGAAAAGTCAACCTTCTAGTGGCAAGAAAAGGATGAGAGGCACCAGAAGCAGAGCTCAGTCAGCATCAGCTGACTGCAGATCCACGGAACATAAACGATTGCTGCTCTAAGTCACTGTCATGAGGTTGTTTGTTATGCAGCATTGTTGGGGGCATAACAATCTGACAGACTCTCTGAGAGTCTGTTGTCCTTGCTTACCAAACTTGGCTAATTCCTGATGGCTTAGAGGCTAAACTGACCTATCACATTGTATGGAGCACTCTTCATGCAACTAACTCCGTCTTAGGAAAAGACTCCGTTTTACATTTTGTAGGGCACCTTGCCAACAAGGATAAGATATTTTGCCTGACAAAAAAATAAAAAATAAAAGACTGCATTCCACCACGTAAAGACACAAACAAGTACACGCTTCCACCATCAGTTCTCCCCAGAGGACTCCATGACATCAAGGAGCTGGCCTTTAGCAGCTAGAATCAGCCATCTTAACTGACAACTGTCCTGCTGTCACTCATGGTAAGAACTTGGCATTTCCCTTCCACATCAAAGACTTTCCTGCAAGACCAACTGGCCCAAACCAAGACTACTTTTGCTCTCCCTAGACTGGTTCATTAACCCTTTCTCCTATTTCTTTTTCTCTTGATGTTAAATGTTTATGGTGTAATGTTTAATCTATAACACTTACATATTGATTAAGTGTACTATTATGTATGGTTTGAAATATTGGCTGATTTGTGGCATGGCTTGAACCTGTGTGACCACGGCTGTGACTGCTGAGTGAACAAAGAGTGCTAAGGAGAATTGCCTCCTTGGGAACTCCATGTAGCTCATGGTTTTTGCAATTGAAATAGCATCAGTAAAGATCTGACACTGTGGAAAGACACAAACATGCATGGACCTGCTATCTCTAACCTTGTACTGCTCATGACATATAATAATAAATAATAAAATTGAATAATAAATAATAAATAAAATTATTACTAATAGATAAAAGTAACTAATAATAATACATGATAAATAAATAAGAGCTAGCATTTTTTAAGCTCCCATTACATTTAAGGGTCATGCTAAGAGCTTTATATGTGTAATGTCTAAAACTTATGATTTTCCAAAAAGAGCAGATACAATTATGCCCAATTATAAAAGAGGAAACTGAGACTCGGTGAGGTAATGTGACTTGCCCAGGTTCTCCAACTAAGGAAAGGCTCCCCAGCATGTGTACCAGATCTGTCTCACTTCCACACAGCAGGGCAAACTCTGAAAGCCACTTATTCCCTAAATTCAACCACAGCAGCTTTACCTTTGTCTGCTTTCTCTGTTGACATTTCACATATTTTTTTTTTAACCTAAGTGTCTCATTATTAAAAAGGAAACTTTGAAAACCACTGCCATACTCCATGCTGATGTGACCTCTACTTTGTGACTTCTGACTTCTACCACAGCCAACCATGGACTGTGGGGGTCATGAAACATCGACAAAGTCATCTTGAACCAAAGGCCCTGCCCCTGGAGTTCAGTCATGCCACACAGCCTGTACCCACCCTGACAAAGATGGTACCTCTGATCTCATGGCAGCCTTTGATTCCGGAAAGATGTTTTGAAACTTCAGGAGTCTAAGCCCCTTGGTCCACAGAAACAGAGGACACACTCTGGGTGTCTAACCACTTCCCGGTAACTGCACTTCCCTGTAACTGTTTTTTTATGAATAGTGGGTGATGTGCAGGAATTGGCTTCCCATAGTGAAGTCCCCCTGTACCAGGCACAGTTCAATCAGAGAAACAGAAACCACTGTTTCCAGCAGAAAGTGATTTCATATCAGAAGTTGGGTGTTTTCAGACTATTGAAAGGAAGATAGAATGACAGGAGGCAGATAAGTTGTTGCCTGGGCCAGGATTAGGGGCAGATTGATTGCCAAGGGGCACAGGGAAACTTAATATGATGGTGCTTGCCTGATTGTACATATCTCTCAAAACTCATCAAACCAGGCCAAGCACAGTGGCTCATGCCCATAATCCTAGCACTTTGGGAGGCCATGGTGGGAGGATCACTTGAGGCAAAAAATTCAAGACCAGTCTGAGCAACACAAGACTCTGTCTCTACAAAAAAATGAAAAAAAAAATTATGCAAACATGGTGGCACACACCTGTAGTCCCAGCTACTCTGGAGGCTGAAGTAGAAGGATCACTTTAACCAGGGAGTTCAAGGCTGAAATGAGCTATGATCACACCACTGCACACCAGCCTGGGTGATAGAGACTCTGTCTCTTAAAAAAAAAAAAATATATATATATATATATATATATATATATATATATGGGCCGGGCATGGTGGCTCATGCCTATAATCCCAGCACTTTGGGAGGCCAAGGTGGGTGTGCTTTCGTTCAGGCTTTGTTGTTCCATTTATAGAGCACAGGCAAAGTAGATTTAGCTTAATTCTTAAGGACCCTAGGATTTTCAGAATGGTAAATGAGCATTGACTTATGGTCACCAGCTGCATTAGTCCCTAACAAATGAGTCAGCCCATCCTGGGAAGCTTTGAAGCAGGCATTGACTTCTCCTCTCCAGCTATGAAAGTCTTAGATTACATCTTCTTTAAATAGAAGGCTGTTTTATCTACATTGGAAATCTGTTTTATGTACCCACCTTCATCAGTGATCTTAGTCAGACATTCTGGATAACTTGCTGCAGCTTCTATGTCAGCATTTGCTGCCTCATCTTGCACTTTTATGTTAAGATGGCTTCTTTCCTAAACCTCATGAACCAACTTCTGCTGGCTTCCAACTTTCCTTCTACAGCTTCTGCACCTCTGTCAGCCTTCATAGAATTGAAAAGTTGGGGCTTCACTCTGGATTAGACTTTGGCTTAGAAGAATGTTGGGACTGGTTTGATCTTCTATCCAGACAACTACAACTTTCTCCATATCAGCAATAAGGCTGTTTTGCTTTCTTCTCATTGATGTGTTCACTGGAGTAGCACTTCTAATTTTCTTCAAGAATTTTCCTTTGCATTCACAACTTACCTAACTGTTACATGCAAGAGGCCTAGCTTTTATTGTATCTTGGCTTTTGACATGCCTTCTTCACTAACATTAATCATTTCTAACTTTTGATTTAAAATGAGAGACATGTGACTTTTTCACTAGAACTCTTAGAGGCCATTGTAGGGTTACTAATTGGCCTAATTTCAATATTGTTGTATCTCAGGAAATTGGGAGGCCCAAGGAGACATAGAGAAACAGAGACAGAGGAAAAAATGGTTGGTAAAGCAGTCAGAACACACACATTTATTGGTTAAGTTTGCCATCTTATATGGGCATGGTTCACGGTGCCCCAAAACAATTACAAAGATCCACGATCACATATCATCATAACAGATATAATAATAAGTGAATTACTAGGAGAATTTCCAAACTGTGATACAGAGACACAAAGTGACATCCCGGTGGAAAAATGGCACCAGAATTACTTGAGTCCTGGAGTTCAAGACCAGCCTGGGCAACATGGCAAGACCCTGTCTCAAAAAAATGGCACCAATAGACTTGCTCAACACAGCATTGCCACAAACGTTCAATTTGGGGGCGGGGGGGAAGCAATACCTGCAAAGTACAATAAAACAAAGTTTCAATAAAACAAGATATGCCTGCATACAGGAACACCTAAGAGCACAGTCAGAGAGAAGGACTTATATGCAGTAGTCTATTTGGGGGATGCATTCATTTTCTATTGCTGCTGTAAAAAATTCCTGCAAGCATAGTGACATTTTGTTAGAATAGCCCTGTGAAAATAAGATACGGAGGTAAAATCAAGGTGTTGACAGTGCTGCATTCCTTCTGGAGGATTTAGGGAAGAATTCATCCCTTGCCTTTTTCAGCTTTGGTTGCTTGCATTCCTTGGCTCATGGCTGCATCACTCTGACCTCTGTTTCTATTGTCACATCTCTTTCTCTGACACTCCTGCCTCCTTCTTAAATGGACTCTTGTGATTACATAGGACCAACCTGGATAATCCATATCCCTAACTTAGTCACATCTGAAAAATCCCTTTGCCACATTAAGATAACATATTCACAGGTCCTGAGGATTTGTATGAGAACACATTTTAGGGATCCATTATTCTCCCTTCCGCACAAGGTGATTATGAAAGGTCACAACTGGGAACAGACTGATTCTGCCAAAAGCTCCCAGTCCACACACTGAGAGCTTCCAGAATAGCCCATCTGAGCAAAGGGCTGCTGCAGCATTTATTTTCAGGCTTCCACCTCCTTTGAGAGCTGGTCCTAGGAGCACTGACCTCTCCTCACTGCTGGGCTGTTTTCATGCTGGTTGAATGGTGACATGGTTTGTATCTATGTCCCCACACAAATCTCACGTTGAATTGTGATCCCCATTGTTGAAGGTGGGGGCTGTGGGAGGTGACTGGATCATCAGGTGGTTTCTCATGAATGGTTTAGCACCATCTCCCTTGGTGCTGTTCTCACTACAGTGAGTTCTCACAAGATCTGGTTGTTTAAAATTGTGTAGCACCTCCCCACTCTCTGTCTTGCCCCTGCTCCCAGCCATGTGAAGTGCTGGCCCCCTACTTTGCCTTCCACCATGACTGTAAGTTTCCTGAGGGCTCCCCAGAAGCCAAGCAGATGCCAGCATCATGCTTCCTGTACAGCCTACGGAACCATGAGCAATTAAACCTTTTTTCTTTATAAATTACCCAGTCTCAGGTATTTCTTTATAGCAATTCAAG